TGATCAATGAATTCTTGGCACAAATATTCGCTTCCTCGATCAGATTAAAGAGTTTTAACAGTCTTGCTAAGTTGGTTTTATACTTTATTTTGGAATATTTTAAAAATTTTAAAAGATTTAGATTTGTATTTCATTAGGTAGATATATCTATATCTATTGTAGTCATCAATAAAGGTAATGAAATATAGATAACCCCTTCTGATAGCTATGCTCATTAGTCCACATACATCTATATGTATGAGTTCCAATAAGTCATTAGCCCTCTCACCATGCCTAGTAAAAGGTGCTTTCATCATCTTTCCTAATAAACAAGATTCGCAAGTGTCATAAGATTTAAAATCAAAGGAGTTGAGAAATCCATCTTGATGGAGCTTAGAAATACATTTCTCATTTATATGGCCGAGACGATAATTCCATAGGTAGGTTGGATTCAAATCATTCGATTTGATCCTTTTGGTAGTTACGTTATAGATGTCTTCATTACTAGAATGTTCCAAATTTAAAAGATAATGACCAAAATGCAAATCACCATTAGCATAAAAAATATCATTTCGATAAATAGAACATTTACCATTTCCAGTAATGGAAGTAAAACCTTCCTTATCCAAATAAGAAAGAGAAAGAATGTTGCTACTTAAAGCAAGAGCATAATAGCAATTGTTCAAAACTAACAAAAGCCCACTGGGCGAAAGTAATTTCTAAGTGCCTACGGCTAAAGCAACAACTCTTGCTCTGTTTCTAACTCGTAGGTCTACTTCGCCCTTCATCAACTTTCTACTGTGTTTGAGACCCTGCATATTTGTACAAATGTGAAAACCATATGCAGTATCTAATACTCATGCAGAAGAAGTAGAAAGGTGAATGTCTATAACATAAATACCTGAAGGAGTAGCCCCATTATCCTTCTTCTTTTTTAGATATTCCAGGTAGAGCTTGTAGTTCCTCTTCCAATAACCCAGTTCATTGCAAAAAAAGCAAACTCCTTCCTTTGGAGGCTTTACCTTCTTGGCTGGAGGCTTGGTTTTAGACTTGTTTGACTTTTTGGTCTTACCATCTGAGCCTACCCTTTCCCTTGCCCTTGCCTTTTCTTTTCTTTTTCATATCCTTTCCTTTTTGAACCATCAAAATAGTGCTAGGCTTTTTCTTAATGTTTTGCTCAGCCGTTTTAAGCATCCCATGTAGTTCAGAAATAGATTTCTTCATGTCATTCATGTTATAATTCATAACAAATTGGTCACAAATTTCTAGGAGTGAGTTGGAGATCAAATCTGTAGCCAACTCATGGCTTAAGGGAAATTTGAGCCTCTCAAGGTGATCAATATAGCTCTTCATCTTTAAAACATGAGTGCTAACTGATGCACCCTCAGCCATCTTGTAAGAATGTAAGGCCTTTGTGGTCTCATACCTCTCTTACCTTACCTGTTGCTGGAACATTTTTTAAGATGTACAATCATCTCATAAGCCTCTATGTGTTCCAAATCTCTGTGAAATTCTGGAGCCATGGTAGCTAGCATTAGGCATCATACATCCACCGAGTCATTGGTTTGCTTTGTTTAAGCATCCCTTTGAGCTCTTAGAGCATTGGCTGTAGGCACCTCAGGAATGGGTTCATCCAAGACATAAACCTTTCTTTCCTACTTGAGAACAATTCTCAAGTTCCTGAACCAGTCAAGAAAGTTTGTCCCATTGAGTTTGTTCTTCTCAAGGACTGATCGCAACAATAGTGTAACCGTGTTACTAGTTGACATGATTCTATAATAAAATACACAAAGTTAATTTTATATATCTCCCTCTAAAACTAACAACCCTCAAATTAGATTAGTGGGCTAAGACCCATATTTCACTTAAATTTAAGTTTGCTTTGGCAGGACACTTAAAATTAAGTTATTTAGGTAGGTAACTCATTTACCAATTACATCACATGTAACTCTTAGATCTTTATGGGATTCAATCATCATATGATTCGACATGTTCAATCTCATCCAATGCCTTGAGATCTAAAACTGTTTTGATAATCTCAATTAAGTCAGACAATAATGAATCTTTATGAGTAGCACCATTACTCACGCTTGTCTCACCAAGATAACCTAAATGTATCCACTTTGGTAGATCCTACATTTGAGTGATCTAAATTTTGACAAGTATTCATTAATTGATGGCATCACAACTTAAGATTTTGATTAGAGGGTTGGATTTATTAATTTAATAAATGTGTAAAGTGAAAGTAATTGTATCTCATATAAAATCATACATATTATGACATAATCAAAAGCATAATTAAACGTGATACAATAAGACTTACCTAACCCATGTCCATCCCAAGCCAATGAGAGGACCTCTCTAAGAAGATAAATTACATCAAGAAACCTCATTTATCCATATGAGGAGATTGAGATGAGAAGAGAATGCACATTCAGAGTTTATAGAGAGAGGTATGACACGCAGGTCATATTTAAAATTTACAACTCTTATAAAACTAGAGGCATATATGTCACCATATCCAAACAACTTCAAGGCAAAGAAAACACAACAAATAAACAATTTATATTACGCAGCGCCCCTGGAGCTTTCGAAAAGCTTATTTTCTTTGAATGAGTTACTGCCTTAAACCCTTTAGACTCATCAATCATATTGATAATCCAGCCTAAACCATATGAGAACGTGAATGAACAATAATGACATTGAAAACGCATATCATATAGCTAAATATTAATCATATTAATTTATTTAAATTCATATAAATTTGAATTTATATAAAATGAGTTTATAGATATATATGTTTCGAAAATATTACATGAAAAACATATATATAAATTTCAAAAATATCACATATAAATTTCAAAAATCTCAAAGCAACGTTCATCTAAAAAAGTTCATCACATAAAGATTTAAGAACGTAATCAACCAAAACCTAACTTAAATGAAAATTCGACCTAGCTCTGGTACCGTTGTTGGATAGGGAGGCACAGCGGAAGATTAAAATTCTAAAGTTCCTATCTTGATATGGCTGAATGAACTCGTTTAAGTTAAGGTGGATAAAAGAGTTACCTTTTAATTATTTGAAATTAGCGCACGTTCTCTTTAAGAGTTTGGATCTCAAGAGTTGACAATGTAGATCTGCTCATTCTACCGATATCCACACGAACAGTTCTCTAACTCGAATAGCATGCTAATGCTCTAGCGTCTGTTATTCTTTGAACATTAATTTTCCTTTTTATAAGGTGTTTCGTGGCTCTTGAAATATTTTGTCGTCAGAACTTTTCTAACTCTCTTTATTTTCATAAAGAACGTCCCTATCTATATATAATATATAGAAAAGGGTTTTCGTCTTCCACTTAAAAGCCTACAAAAATTTAATTAAATTTATCTCATAAATTTAACCTATAATATCATATCTAATTCAAATTTATCTTATAAATTTAAATTATAAAACTGACATAATATTCTCTCATATCATATTAGTTATTAAATTTAATTTATTATATAAAATTAAATTTAAAACTAACATAATATAATATAATATATCACATATACATATTATATTATATATATACAAATATATATATACATATATATTTTGAAATATATATATATATATATATATTATCTATATTTAATTTTATATATCATGTACATATATATCACACACACACACACACACACACACACACACACACACACACACACATATCAAATATATATAATTATATTTTAAATTTTATATTTCATATAAATATATATATATATATTTATCAAATAAATATTCATATATATATATATATATATATATGATGAGAATAGTTGAAGATGAAGAAATTATAAATGAAGAAAAAAAAGAAAACAAGATATGCATGAAAACATATGACAAACAAGAATAGAAATAGAAAGAATAAAGAAAGGACAAGAGATAATGAATAATAATTTATGGTTTATACATGCATAGATAGAAAAAATAGAATTACAAATATTTGATAGAGAAAATAGAACAAATTATACAAAGAAAAAAGATAAAGAAATAAAACAAAAGCTAGAAGAAGAAATAGAAAGAGAATTAAGAGGAGAAAATGAAATAGATGAAGAAGAATGGGAGAATACAAATAGAGCTGCAGAAATAATGCTAGAAAATTATAATTATAAACCTAGAAAGAAAAATAAACCAAAACCTCAAAATAATGCAAAAATAAATATGGCACAAACAATAAATGATATAGAAAATGAATTAGAAAGTCAATCTGAAGAATTAGAAATAGAATTTCAAAAATTGTTACAAAATGAAGCAATAGAAGAAAGAGAAGAATTATAAAAAATAAAACAAGAATATAAACATATGATAAATAATAATTTTGAAGAAGGATTTGTAAATATAAAAATTCACAAATAGTAATTCATGATCAACAACCATATGGAATACCTCAAAATTTTGTAGCACCAAATTTAGATAATCCATCCTATAATAACAGAAATGTAGAATCAAGCAAAATATCTGAAGAAAATAGAGATGAAAGAATGATGGAACCAGATGAAAGAGAACAATATTATGAAACATATTTTATAAATTTAAATAAAAAAAATGTAATAATATACCTTTTCAGGCTACATTCAATATACCGAAAAATAATGAATTTACACCCACACCTTTAGCACAATATAAAAGTAAACAAATATCAAATTTAGGAATATGATTAAATTTAGATTGTAATTTAAACGATATTGAAGTAATAGAAGAATGGGAAAAATCAACATTAATAGCATTAATAGGAAAAAATGTAGATGTAAACACTGTAAATATGTTAATAGAAGCAACATTTTTAGGAAATGTAAAAAATTAGTAAAATAAAAAACCTCAAGAATAAAGAGAAAAATTTAGAAGACTAGATAAATGTAACACACCAAATTTTTTTTTTTTTAAATAATTTAACTCAACCATAGTTGGGTTACAGCCACCCAACACATTTTTATATCAATAATTTTGATATAAAATATTTTATAATTAGCTTCAACTCACACACTATAACATTTCAGATAAATTTTTACCTCCCACATGCCATTAGGCTAAATCACATTTGTCCATCCTTATACTCCCAACAAGTAAACTAAATCACATTTGTCCATCCTTATACTCCCAACAAGTAAAATAAGCAATTTAATCAATTTTCAACACAAGCCAGTTATTTGACCTTATAATCATGCCATTTTAACCAATCCAAAGTAAACCAAATATTAAAATTACAGTCATCCAAATTGTACCAAAAATAGAAATAGTTTGAAAGGCATGATTACATTTATATATTCATATAATTGACAATAAACATAAAAAAGTCCTAATATTGGCAATATAACACATTATAAATCATAAATTAAATACCCAAAAGAGACAGTGGATCTATACCACTAAGCCTCTGGGACTCCTCTACGTGTCACTCGTGGCTCTTCTCCTGAAAATTGTTAACCACATAATGAGACTCAAAAGTCCCAGTAACCAAAGCCAATTTATGATAGTGTATACAAACAGTTAAGTGTGTGCTTACTAAGTGAGAATTAAAAATAATATAATTCCAACAAATATAAGAAATATTATAATAAACACAAACAACCATCCTTATATCCCTCCATTAACCTCGAGCCGTAGCCCTCACTCGGTGCTAAATTACCCGGCCAAAGGTAGATTAGCCCAAGCCCTTACAAGCCACCTATTGAGCTACAATAGGAGCGTACCACGTGGCACATAAATACAACAATAATAGCAAGTCTCCCAACACCTCCCACAATAATTAAACAAATTCATAATAATATTGCACAATTATACAATATTACAAAATTCATAATTTTCTCAATAATCACCCAATTAACAAGAAGTAACACTAATCATAAATTAAAAGCATGGTTACCTTGTGGCTTTTTCAATAAATTATTCCTTAAAATTTCTCTCTCTCCACAATCTTCACCAGTAATACAATCTACAAATAACATATTATTTATAAATATTAGTTTCAATTTTTGAAACTAATAAAATAATTCTAATAATAGAATTAAAAATATAACATAATTTCTAATCTCAATCTTAATACAAATCTATAGTTAATACTATTAAGTAAAATTTTTAACTCCTCTTTTAATTATCAATAAACATTAATAATCTAAAAATCAAATTTTAAACTAATTTCTATTATCAAAATTTTCTTTTTATTTTATAAATTCGTACCTAAAATACCCAAAAATTAAAAATTGAGTCTCTAGCTTAGAATCATAATCCTATAACCATAATAATTCATTTCTCATCCCAAATAATCATCTAAACCTCAATAAATCAACATATATTTTCAGATCTAGTTTAGAATTTGATCCATAAGCCACAGATTCAAAGATCATCAATAAATTTATACTCTAGAACATTTATTATACTACTGACAACCTCAAAAATCATATTTATTCAACATAAATTCATCCCTCTTCCAGATCTTAAATTTTCTACCACTACAAACTCAGAAACTAAATAAGAAGGATGACTAAGAAAAATTTTTAGAACACTTACTTAGTCTTGAAAAGCTTAAAATCACAACCTAAATATCCTATTAAAAACTCTTACCTTAAAAATTTAGATATTTCGCACCGGCAACTCGCTTCTCTCCGCCTCAGCTCGCGCGCAGAATGAATGAGGAAATGAAGGAAGGTGAGTTTTTATAAAAATTCAGTGGGTCCCACACATTTTTTTTTATTATTATTTCTTCTTCTCTCTCTTCCCCCCTTTTTTTTTATTATTATTTTATACTTACTATTCATGCGGCGCCGAAAGCAAATTCGTTTTCTCTTCTTCTTCTTTTTTTTTTTGTTTTGGCATACCTTTTTCCCTTTTTTTTTATTATAATAATAATTTAATAATTAATTTTTTTAATTAATTTTTTTTAATTAATTTATTTATTTTTTTTAAATTTTTTTTTTAAATTTAGAATTATATCCTAAATTAGATTTAATAATCATTTTCTACTAATTTTCTTACCTCTAAATATTATTATTTTTTAAAAAAAATTTCTATTAACCTAAATTAACTATTAAATTTAAATTGGGATGTTACAATAAAAGTTGTTATAGTAAAAGAGAATATTATGCTATGTTAATAGATAAATATATAAAAACATTATTAAATGAATTTGGAGGAATAAGTATGGATATAAATGAAATGAGTGAACAAAAAAAAGTAATAAAAATATTACATGAAATAGAATTATTTTCATTAGAACCAGAATATTTAAATGCTTTTACACGTGAATACAAAAATATTATTATGAAGTTGGATTAGAAGATTTAAAAGAAGAAAGATTCTATTTAGACTTATTTTATAGAAAACCACCAAAATTAATATCAGATATGATATTAGAAGATTATTATAATACTTATAAAGTAACTTTAGAAGGAGATGAAACAATAGATGATACAAGACAAGGTGCAATAAATGTTTTAAATAAAATAGACACTATGGGAAGAAGAGAATTATTTTTAAGAAAATATATAGCTGATAAATGTAGAACTATATGGAGAAATATGAAATATTATAAAACTATCAAAACAATATTAAGATGTGGAGAGATAATGAAAGGATATAAATGGGGATATAAACCAGAAAAATATGAAAAGAAAAAGAAGAAAATAAAATTAAAATTAAAATTTAAAAAATATCCTAAAGAAAAATATTATAAAAAATATAATAAATATAAACCAAGAAAATTCTTTAAAAGAAGAAAAAGAAAAAATATAAATTATAAGAAAATACTTAAAAAATGTAAATGTTATAATTGTGGAGAATTAGGACACATATCACCTAACTGTCCAAGTAAAAAAGATAAAAAATTATGAAAATAATGGAAGAAGCATATAAAGAAAATTTAGAACCTATAAGATATAATGAAGAATTATCTAAAATAAAAAATAAATTAAATAATTTAGAAACAGAAATTTATAAATTAAAAATAATTAGTGAAACTGAATCTATAAATAGTGAATCTGAAAAAGAAGAAGAAATGAGTTTATATATATATATATATATATGATAAATAGGTTAGAAGATAAACCTGAGAGTAGTAATCAAAATGATTATGATCAATATGAAGAAGTTGTAAGTGCAGAAGAAGGAATAGTTCAAAAAAGAATGACTTTTAATCAAAAACAATAAGAAAAGATAAGAGATTAGGTTAGAAGATAAACCTGAGAGTAGTAATCAAAATGATTATGATCAATATGAAGAAGTTGTAAGTGCAGAAGAAGGAATAGTTCAAAAAAGAATGACTTTTAATCAAAAACAATAAGAAAAGATAAGAGATTCAAAATTAAATTTAAAACTTGAAGAATTAAAAAATGAAAGTTTTATGAATAAAGTTGGAAAACTTGTGAAGTCTAAGAAATAAGAAAAATATGCATGTGTAGTATTAGAAAAGAAACATCCTATAGAATCAACATTAACAGAAGGAGTATTAAGAATAACTTTGATAAGTAAATCTTCAATAGATGCTGAAATTAATAAATTATCATTTAAAGATGAAGTAATAGAAATATATATTGCTGGAGTACAATTATTAGCAAAAGCTTATTTTCAAAAAGGAAAAAATTCACCAATAGAATTATTAATAATTGATGGAAGAATAATAAGTAATGTTGAAGATAGTATTTTAGGAATATTAACTAGAAACTTAATATATCAAAAACTAAAATTTACAGTAAATACTAACTTTTGTATTTCAAGAGCAGATAAAAATATGAATAAAATCATACTAATATATCATAAATTAGGAGGAATAAAATTATTACTAGGATCAAGAACAATAATTATAACTGCTATGATAGATTAGTATTTACAAATGAGCATAAAATTTATAAAAGAAATAAAGAAAAATTAACAATTGATAAACATTTTATGCCTGTATTACAAGAAATAAAATTAGACCCAACCAGAATAACAATACCTGAACAATTAATATTAGAATTAGATAATACAATAGGATATTATGAAAATGAAAATAATTCAAGAAGACTGATAGTTAATGATAACATAGGACAAAGAACATTAAGAATAAGTACACCAACATTAAATATAAATATAAATCAACCTAATATTAGAAGAAGTTTTAGTTTTGAACTAAGACCTAGTATAAGTAGAGGATTATCTAGACAAGAAAGATTATTATTAAAATCTAGAACTGAAACACCAATAACTTCAAACTTAGAACCAATAAAACCTAAAACACCAATAAAAAACAATAATTATATAGCTATACAAATAAAAGAAGATGTTAATTGGATAGATGTAATGACTTTAGTAGAACCAAGAGAGAAAAAAAATACAATACAATTAGGATTAACAAATAATAATCTTGAAGTAACAAATGAAGGAAATAGAAAAATATATTCAATAAGAATAAATGAAAGAGATGTGTTAACTGTAAAATTATGGGTAATAGATGATAATAATAATCAATGTTAAATAATCTTAGGAATAGATTTCTTAGAACAAGTAAAACCATGGAGAATACAACAAGAAAGAATTATGATAAATATTAATCATCAAATAATAGTAATCCAAAAGATAAAATTGATATGACAAAATTATATTACATATTGATAAAATTTAATTATCAAAAATATAAATCTAAAAAATATCATGCTTTAATCGATACAGGAGCAAATATTTCAGTAGCAAAAGCAAATATATTACCAGATGAATTATGAAAAAAGAAAAATAAAGTATTAAGAATGCAAGGGGTAGGACAAAAAATTAATTGTATTGAATTAGAAGTAAGAGAAATTATGATACAAATAGGAGAATATGAATTAAAAATAAGAAAATTAAACCAATATAATGATAACTCATGTGATGTAATATTAGGAATAGATTTTGTTGAACAATATTATCCTTTACATATATTTAAAAAGGCAATAATATTAACAACACCTTGTAAACACCAAGCATGGGGAGTAAGAGTAACTAAACCTTATAGTAGAAGAGATGAAAAATTTCAAAAGAAACAAAAGAATATGAAGTATAGTTTCTACCAAATAAACAAAACCTTTGTATAATAATGAAGTTATAAATTCAATAAAAATATTAAATACTGCAAAAGAAATTAAGACAATTGAATAAAGATTATTAGAAAATTATAGTGATAATCCTTTAGTTCATTGGGAAAAATCTAAACCTTTAGCAAAAATAGAATTAAGAGATTATAGTAAAGAAATAAACTGTAAACCATACCCATGGATAAAAAATGATAAAAAAAAATTTATTATGCACATTAATGAAATTGAACAATATGATTTAATAAGAGAAAGTAGATCTGAATATTCATCACCCGCTATGATTGTAATAAAACATAATGAAGAAAAAAGAGAAAAGTCAAGATTAGTCATAAATTATAAAAAAGTAAATGAATTAAAAATAAAAAATAGATATCCAATCCTAAAAATAGATTTATTATTTAATTTGATAAGAGGAAAATATATATTCAGTAAGTTTGATTTCAAATCAGAATTTTTTCAAATAAAATAAAAAGAAGAAAGTAAAAAATATACTGCTTTTAGTACATTAGAAGGTTTGTATGAATAGAATGTATTACCTATGAGATTTCATAATAGTCCTAGTATATTTCAAGAATATATAACAAAATTATTATTGTCAATAAAAGATTTTGCTGTCATATATATAGATGATATTTTGACATTCTCAAAAGATAAAGAAGAACATGAAAAACATTTAGAACAATTTATAAATCTTATAGAAGAAAAAGGATTAAATATATCACCTAAAAAAGCTAAATTAAGAAAAGAAAGAATAGGATTTTTAGGACAATACATAACTAATAATGGAATAGAATTACAAGAACATATTAGTAAGAAAATACTAAAATTTGAGGAAATTAAAAATAAAAAAGAACTTCAATCATTTTTAGAATTAGTAAATCAGGCCAAAAACTATATTTCAAACTTATCAAAATTAATAGGAAAAGTAAGTAAATTAGCTAGAGAAAAGACAATATGGATATGGGATAAAGAAAAAGAAAAAATAGTGAATCAGATAAAAACTTTATGTCAAAATCTACCTAAATTAACTATTCGAATAAATAATGATGTAATATGGATAATATACACAGATGCTAGTAAAAATTATTGGGGAGCAATTTTATATCACATTAATGAAAAAGGAGAAGAAGTAATAACTAGATATGCAAGTGAAAAATTTAATGATTTTTAAACTAGATATCATTCAAATTGGAAAGAATTTTAGCAATAGTAAAAGATGTACAAAAGTTTGAATTATTTATTGTGAATACTAGATTCATTATAAGAACTAATAGTCAAGTAAAACATAAAAACAACTCAGTTATGTAATAAAATGTTAATTAAATGGCAATCAGATATGTCTTATTATGATTATGAAATTGAATATATTAAAGGAAAAAATAATCTTGTGGCTGATTATTTGTCCAAATGGAGTCAAATAGAAGAGAGACAAATATGATGACAAGTAGTGGTGGTGGTGGTTTACCTACAGGACTAATAATGACCCCACTAGACCAAGTAATCATGAAAGTAAATATTCTGGAGATGAATATGACCCTTCTTGCTGGACAACTAAATGCAAATATGCAAACATTATC